ACCCGACACCGTCTTCTTGGTCTATACAGCCCCCGGCGCAGAAGCAATTCGAAGCCCTTAAGACATACTTCAAAGAAGAATTCAGGAAATGGAAGGTCGCTTGCGCTACGGCAACTACTTCATCGCATGAGGATTTGACATATCCTCCCTCTAGAGCATCTTTTCCTCGCGACGTGCGCGAGGCCGTGAAGAAGGCGGAAGAAGCAGCGGCCACGCTGGAGGCGCAGGTTTGTGAGCATTTGCAATCGACATATCATGTTTGGGAGCAACTTCCAGTTCAAAGGAGGACAGAGCTTTGGGGCCTTGAGTTGGCGAGGAGTGTAGGGAGACGGCAGAAGGAAGTGGAGAAGTTGAAAGAGACTCATTTCTCTATGAGACAAGAGAATGCGAACCTCAAGGCTCAGATCGATCAGCTCAATCGTCTACAACAACCGAGGGAGTTCAGGATAGTTCCTCCAGCAACGATCCCTATCGAAGAATCGCTACTCTCGTATTTGCTAGATCTAGGAAGCAAAGGTTACAGGGGGATCGGTCTTGAGACTGAAGATCGCCATGTGGACCTTGATACCGTAGTTGGCCGTGCCATTGAAAGATGGAAGGCGGTCATTGTGTCGTCGCGGGGGGCTGGTATGGCTGGACAGAGGACGCTCGAGCAGACAATTACTACCCCGACTAGCACAACTCCTAATTCTGTACCTGCCCCTCAAGCCCAAATGGCAGCCCACCCTCAACAGCCCCAACAACACCAGCACCAAGGGTCTATTTCTATAGCATCTAATCCACAATTGAATGAGCAGCAATCGGCAACAACAGCGGCAGTCATTCCAGCTGCTGCAATGGCTCCCGCTACTTCTACCACACCTGGTGTTGGTGTTCACGACGAAAACAGCGACCAAGATGCCGATGCAGAAATGGAGGACGACGAAAATTTTGCATCGCTCGCTCCTGTTATCGCAAAGCAGCCAGCGCAGTCTCATCAGCAACTCGAGATACCACGGACGAGAAATCTTGACCAACGAGTTCCAGGTACTACCGAAACCCGATTTACCGTTAACGGGACGATGCCCAATCGAGACCTCAACATGCGGCAAACAATGCAAAATCTGAATGCTGGTACCTCGGTGCCGGGGCGTATGCATAGTCAACACGGACATGCGATAATGAGTAATGGCGATTATGGGTCAATTGTTCAAGGCGTTAGCGGTAGCGAACCGATGTATATGGATTAATAGAGGATTTTCATGGCGATCTTGGCGTTCAAAATAGCAATCTAGCGATAGTCCTTTTGGGGCAAATCCCTCCGAGACAAATTTATATCTAAGCTTTTACTCTAGCCCGATGTATGGCGATAGAGAGCGGGCGTATACAATTATCTTATATTCTGCTCATTTGTGTTAATAGAGATGGGATCAAAACGTCAGCTTCGTACTACCAACTACATATGTACGTATGAAATGGTTTACTGGCAGTGCGTTGTTGAAGTCAAGCGTGAAATAGGAGTTATAGATTGGATCACTAAAATATATTGAAGGGGGCTGGCATTTATATGTTTCTAGGCTCTCGCCATCTGCTTGACTGATGAAAAGATTTCGGAATGTGCACTATATACCAATCATACAATTTACCTTGGTTAAAACTTTGGTCCCTAGGTACCTAACCATGTTATGTATTGTACAAGAAAGCCCCTGAGGTTAACCGGATATTTTAATGCATCTTCCGGTACTCATTGCCGCAGTCGCCGAGTCTGTCGAAGAGGGCTATCATTTTCTCTCTTGACGAGCCCAGCGCAATCTTGTTAATACTATACATGTCGTTGTCATCTAGTTCAAGCTCAAATACTTTCAAATTTTCGTCGACATTGTCCGAGACGCCAAGCCTGGTGCCCACAATGACCGCGCCTACTGCCGGCTGCTGTAAGACCCAGCGCGTCGCAACGTTCGTAAGGCTTGCGCCATGCTTGAGAGCTACCTTCGAGAGACGCTCGAGTAAGACCTGGAAGTCATCCCATGTACCCCAGCTAAGGATCATGTCGAAGTACTATAAGACTAAACTTTAGCTAGATGGTGTGTGTAATTGTTGAAAAAAAAAACGATGGGAATTACTCACCTTGCGCTGAGAAGGGGTCAACTTATTCGATTCTAGATATATATCAGGAGCTGGCTGATGAAGCCATCTCTCCGATAGGAAGCCTCCGCACTGTTGGGTCATACAACATATCAATGTACTGGAACAATTGCATCGAAGAAAAAAAGGGGGGAGATGGTTGTCTTACAAATGAGCCGTATGTGAGTAGTTTCAATCCGTATTGATCACATACTTGGGTCATTCTCTGCAGCGGGCGTGCGTCCACAAGAGAAAACTAGATGCAGACTTGAGCTTAGCATAACGGAAATGAATGCTGGCACTATTTAAATGTGGCATGCTCACCTGTACTTGGTTTGATACGATCCCGACCGAGCCAGTCTCGGCGATGAGATGCTTGCACGACTCCCCCACATGCTCAGAGTCGAAGTTGCAGAGGCCGATTGCTGACACCAATTCGGGGTGGGATTTCGTAATATAGACTAACTCTAGGAGGATGTAGAGGTAGGCTTTATCCTCGTACTGTTTAAAATAAGAAAACAACTTCTGAGGTTGGCTTAGATAGAGAGGTGCGTACATCGTACCAATGGAACTGCAACAGCTCAACCCGGCCCCCTAAGCGTCGGCACCGTTCACGCACGGCGTTGAGGACGAACGACGTGGTTACGGGCTTCGGAATTGGCGAAAAGATGCACTGCGCCCCCAGTAGTTAATAATGAATACCCCCAGACCCTTGGGACCGAGTTGAGTCAGAGACTCGGTTCCCAGATTAGATGATTCAAGGGAGAAGATAAGAAACCAGCCATACTTACCCATTTGGTCGCGGCATATACCATATCACGTATTTCAGGCGCGAGCTTGCTCCTGAAATCACCGTATATTAGCTCCGCATCGCCCTAGGTAGTGCCTAAATCAGGAAGAGTCCATCAGAGGGGGTCGTGATCACTCACGTAATGATCTGCCATATCAGTAGCAGTCAAGCCGCATTCAACAGCATGCAAAAGCGCCGCCTCTTGGCTTTGAGCGGTTCCGGAGCCCCAAGAGGGTGAGGACAACTGCCACAGACCGTTGAACAGCCGAGGCATGTCGAAAGGCCCCAGTTGAAAATTTTCTATTACATGCCTCTTAACTGCTGTGTTAGATACGGTGAGTTCTGGTTGCTTTACGGTGTTGACCGCCCGCATGTATTGGGGAAATAGAATTGCTAGGACGTCGTAGAGCTGCCGCGTGGCACGTATAAAGGGGAATGACAGAGCGGGATGAAGGCCCTCGCAGTATTGCCTGCAGTTTCCTAGGCCGGCCAGAAGGCCATTGATTAAGCCCAAGAGTTTAGGGGTGGGCTCCGGACACGACTCCTTGAGTGCCTGTACTGCTTGGACGACATCCCCGTCAAACTTTGCAAGTAGCATCACGAGCTCGCCGTCTTTAGTCCACTGTAGCGCACATGTGAGTCCTCATCGTTTACTTGGGGGTCTTAAGAAAGGCCTCAGAGGTATTCTACATATCCTCATGGGCCTAAGATCCACGATAAATGGAGTCCGTAGTATGCATCCATAAAATGTAACGTACTCTAACTCTTGCCCGTGGAATAGCCTCCGCGAAATGCCTTAAGCTACAATTATTAGACATGATGCTATTGTATTACTAAAGGGCAGGCCTTACTAAGGGAATGACTCCTGAGGAAGCTTGCACGAGAATATACATCTGGTTTGAGCTAGGTAGGTCAAGCAGGCCTCAGAGACAATATCATCTCCAGGAAATAGTTTTTCCGGGTCCTCAAATCGAGGTGGATTCTCATAGAATCTTGCTCGTATGTGTTCGACGAATGGCTGCTGTGTGGTGGCGCCCTGGGAAACGAGAAGGCGGAGAGCAGATCGAAGAGTGGCCGGCGGTACTGCGTTCTTGGTTAGAATACGGGTACTAGCTAGATGTAACTAAATGCATGATTGTTTTATTCGCTAACAGTTCGATATTAGACAATCGTCCATCATATTTCTTAAGACATACGTTAGATATGATGTTTCTCATGACGATGCCATTAGACTGCTTACACATGACCCGCCATGGCTTATAAATAGATAGATTTTTCTATACTATCTCTATAGTACGAAACTGAGATACTATATCAGAAGTTCATAAGCGATAATCCTTAAGAGTATAGGTAGTCTATTCAATCTTAAAGTCGGCGTTACGCGTGGAATTCGGAACATAAGAGAGCAAGGAGATAGGAATGTTTAAATCCCCATGGTAAAGTGAGCCAGCGGATTCAGACTGGCGCGTAATCAATGACGAAGTTTCTACGTAGGATAAGTCCCGCAGATACTCAAATTCGGGTTGTCCAAACAAGGCAGGTCAGGAATTATATATACCTCGATTATAATTGCCAAGGTAAGCTGCGCTTGATTACACTTATACCGCAAGCGGTAACCAAGGGCGAGGTATGCGGAGATCGGGGTTTCTTACCTTCAGGTTCTATGATAAGGTTAAAGGGTAGTAGTATTTAGATCCCCCGCTCCTATCATCAACTGCCCCTGAATTAGCCGTGAGCAAGGTTCGCTTAATATACTATCATATGTTACATGAGCTCAGTTGTTATACCAAGTTACACACACCTTTCTCCGAGAATTAATAGCTCGAGAGTCTACATACCCAGGTAGATTAACGTAATTGCGGCAATGGAATCACCAATCAAAAAAAGTCGACATGCTATAAGTTGAATATGCTACAATATACTACGAACGAGTGTGATCTCCCCTTTATCCGTATCAGATATTAGCTAGGATAGGGAAATTTGGGGGAGATGAGGCTGAAAGGTTCCGACTACATATCTTGGATATCTAACCTACTTTAAAGGGAATATAGGTAGGGAGTACTATTCATTGCTCATGCTGGCCACCGGGAGTGGCAGACCCACCCCTATACTACCAGACTGCACACCCCTGATAGACGAGGTCATCCTTTGGATACGATTATAAAAAACTGGAACATCTGTTCATGAGTATTATGATGCTGAAAACCCGAGCCGTGTTGGCAGCGGGCATAAGTACCTCCCTAGGTACCTAGTGAAGACTGAGAAGTAGATAGTTGACTAAACTAGGACGATATCATGAGAGTAAACTGTATAAATGAAAGAACTAAAGATATGCGGTTTTAATCTTGTCCTGTTCTCATTCGTCTGGATTATGTGCCTAAAAAATAAAGCATATACTAAACCCGAAGCACAGCCGAATTATACAACTTTACCGATGTCGTCAGCACTTGATAGAAAACTATTGGAATTTAAGGATTCTCCTCACCCAATGTGACTAGGTAGTTAGACGGACTGCCTAAAATTGGATCGACGAAGCGCAATCGGCATTGGCCGGCTAAATTCAACTGCTCCTCGGGCCATCATTATACGACCTACCGAAGACGTTCTCTAGCTTCGATGTTGAAATATACATAGCTTATGTTTAAAGGAGAGTCGTCAATGAGTCTTTTACTCTTCTAAACTTATCTCGTTTAACTGTCAGTCTGTCTAGAAAGACTACCCACCATGCCTTTAGTTCGCAATCCGATCTTGCCCGGCTTCAATGCCGACCCGTCAATACTACGGGTTGGCAGCGACTATTACATCGCTACATCTACCTTTGAATGGTACCCTGGAGTACAGATCCACCACTCTAAAGATCTCGCAAACTGGGAGCTAGTCACGCGCCCCCTGAACCGCAAGTCTCAACTGGATATGCGTGGTGATCCTGATAGTTGCGGCGTGTGGGCGCCCTGTCTTACACATGACGGCGACAAATTCTGGCTTGTATATACAGATGTGAAGCGCAAAGATGGTTCCTTCAAGGACACACACAACTATATTGTCAGCGCTCCATCGATTGAGGGACCTTGGTCTGATCCCGTTTATGTCAATTCTTCCGGGTTTGACCCTTCTCTATTTCACGACGACGATGGTAAGAAGTGGTTCATAAATATGCTACAGGACCATCGGCGCCGACCCCGTTCTTTTGCGGGGATCGTCCTGCAAGAGTTTGACCCTGCGGCGGGCAAGTTAGTTGGCCCGAAGAAAAACATCTTCCGTGGAACGGAGCTAGACCTTGTCGAAGGACCACATCTCTACAAGAGGAATGGATGGTATTATCTTTTGACGGCCGAGGGTGGGACAGCTTATCACCACGCATGCACGCTGGCCCGTTCCCGCGATATTTGGGGTCCATACGACGTGCATCCACAGAAGCATATTCTCACCTCCAAGGATGCCCCGTTTGCCGCTCTGCAGAGAGCCGGCCATGGTGACATTGTAGATACACCCGAGGGGCGGACATATCTCGTACACTTGGCAGGTCGACCAATAACTCAGGAGCGTCGCTGTGTCCTCGGTCGCGAAACTTCCATTCAAGAAGCCTTTTGGAAAGATGACTGGCTATTCGTGAAGAATGGTCCTGTTCCTTCGCTCTACGTTGATGTCCCTGGAGTGCGTGACGACACCCAATACTGGGCGGAGCAAAGATATACCTTCGAGGACGGACTACACAAGGACTTGCAGTGGCTGAGGACACCTGAAACAGAGCGCATTTTTGCTACTCAGGATGGAAAGCTTGTCTTGTTCGGCCGGGAGACTATTGGGTCGTGGTTTGAACAGGCATTGGTCGCGAGACGGCAGACTCACTTCTCTTATGACGCCGAAACAACGATCGATTTCTCACCAACCGACGAGAGGCAATTTGCAGGACTCACTGCATACTACTGCCGCTACAACTTCTTCTATCTTACCGTGACGGCCCATTCCGACGGCCAAAGAGAGCTACTCATTTTGACATCGGAGGGCTCTTGGCCCGACGGCAAACTCACCACACCCCTTGCAGACCCTGTGCAGATCCCTAATGAAGGAAAAGTAAGACTGGCGTTAACGATTCGCGGTCGCGAACTGCAATTCCTTTACGCGTTACACGGCGATGAGCTGAAGAAAATTGGACCGGTTTATGACGCGTCTATTCTTTCTGACGAATGTGGTGGACATCAGGCCCATGGGAGCTTCACAGGGGCGTTTGTGGGAGTGGCGTGTTCTGATGTAAACGGGACCGCGTTACCGGCTACTTTTGATTATTTTACGTATCGTCCCGTCGAATATGAGACTGACAGATATGATGTATAACAGCTTTACGATATTTTTGTTCAAATTAGGCTTAAATACACAACTAAGTAGGTACCTATCTACATCTATTAAGCTTATAATAAGTAAATATTTATATTGATGCTTTGATTGTTATGATTTCTCTTTAACCTAAGCCCTTAAAGTGCCTATTTACGGTCCAAAGTTAAGTGATTCTGTGGGATCTAGTAATAATTGATTAGTTCAATCAATGATCATATAGTATTGTCATACTAATAAAAGCAGAAGTCCTGAGTTCTAGGGGGGAAGTTCATTTGATGGGGATCAAGGTACGGGTGTTGTCGCTTGAAATAACTCCCTACATTAGGTATACTAAGCTATGACAATCTTAACTATCTTAGGATAAACTTTAGGCAGACGATGCCTTGTGAGCCTCTCACGTCCTTACGTTTGATATACGCGAGTCTAACAAACCATATACTCAAGGAACTACGTGGTATTATCAACTTGGCTATGCGATGAAAAGAGGGGCTGCTATAGATAATAATAAGTATCAAAGGTGCTCTAGGCGCAGAAAGAACATTGGCGGTGAATAGAATGGATTATAGAATTCTATATGTAGGTGATTTGCTAGATTATGGATTGTTAGTGAGTCATAGTCCTCTCCTAGGGGTCTAGGTCTTGGTACCTTGTCCCTTGTTACCGCCATATTTCGTGTAAGTGGGTTTAAGCCTTTGCTGCCTAGGCACACGGACTGCAATAGAAGGGTATATAGGTAGATATACCTCGTCCCGAACAACGAGAAAACCGATTATTATTCTCTCCAGCCTTACAAATTAGATCACTCCCTTACTCACATATCAGTTACCTAAGCCATGTATTCCGAAAAGGAGCCCGAAGATGAAATTGTTCACAATGAGGAGACGAAGGCACTACTAGAAGAGCTTCGTGAGTCGATGACTATTAGTCGTGAGAGTTTTGTCTTTGCCTGTGGCGGATCCGTCCCTATTGGCCATCAATAAGTTGATAATTCACAGCAACCGGCGGAAACGGCCCCTGCGCAGTCCTCTACTCAAGACGGTAAAACTACCACCACGTCGAGCCCTTTATTATTACCCATTCCACCTAGCCATATGATTCTTCGATGGGATTCTCCCAACCAACCCATGCCCAGCTCGCACTGCAAGCTTAAATTTCCGATTGAACCATCTACATTAGAAAATTTGGCTCGCTTGGTGGCTGATATGAACCCTGCTACATTTGGTCTTGGTGGGAAAGATGTATACGATGAAAGTTATCGCAAGGCTTCAAAGCTCGACCCATCTCAGTTCTCCTTGAATTTCTCCCCATATGAATGTGGAATCATCGATTCGGTTGCACAGATACTGCTTCCAGATTGGAAAGCGGGCAGTAGCAAGCATAGAAGCGTTAGGGCAGAGTTGTATAAGCTGAATGTGAGTGTTATCTGAGTAGCATCCAACATTATTAGTTCTGGGTCTAGATACTGATGAAACGACAGATTTACGTCGGTACGTCCGGTCACTTCCGTGCACACGTAGACACCCCACGCTCCGAGTCCCAATTCGGGTCGCTTGTCGTTTGTCTACCGGTTGCTCACGAGGGTGGCCAACTCGAGGTCCGGCACAATGGCAAGACTATATCATTTGACTGGTCCAAGCTTGACATCAATCAACCATCTATTCGATGGGCAGCATTCTACAGTGACTGCGAGCACGAAGTCTTCCAGGTTCAATCTGGGCACCGCATTACGCTGACATATAATCTTTATGCCATGCGTGGAATTGGCCAACTAACTAGCCACCCTAAACCTCTAGATTTGGCCCAGGTACCTCTATACAAACATATGCATACCGTCATTAGTCAAGAGAAATTCATGCCAGAAGGTAAGCACAATATTCGACATCAATTTGAACTTATAACTAAATACAGCAATCTTAAATTAGGCGGATACCTAGGCTTCTATACGACACATGGTTATCCTCATACTAGTAGACGCTTTAGTGGACCAGGTACGCTTAAAGGCCTCGACATGGCCATATGGGAGTGCTTTCAGGCTCTTGGGTGTTCTGTGTACCTACGTCCGGTTGGTCAAGAGAAATACTACGACTCAAAGCGCAAAGGGGCTTTTGACCAGCGGGGACAGATATGGATTGGTGGAATGTTACATGTGGCTGGACTCAACAACTTTAAAAGATATAACGAGGAGATGGAGTCCCCGGAGGTCGTATTTAAAGCATGGTCTAAACTAGGTAAGGGGCCAAAGTTTCGCTACTCAGACATCGCCTGGTTGAATGACCCGGGAAAAAGGGAATTTCAGTTCTCTTATCTCGTGGAAAGTAGTACCTAGAGCTTGAAATATTCATATGTGGTAGCAATTTACTAATTACGTGTCTTCCTAGTATGGTAACCAAGCATCGGAGGATGCGCTTTACTCGGTCTGTGCTATTCTTGTCAAGGTGCCACCTTATGCAGAAAGGGTTAGAGACAAGGCTTAGATTCTCCTTCAACCTCGTCGTGGTTTATCCACACTTGGGAGTCAACTACGATAGTAGCATGCTTACTAAATATTCACTCATTTGATAGATAGCCAGAGCCTACTCTCCTAATCGATCAATATACCACTCTGCAGCACTTATACAACACTATTACTGGGACGCAGTGATATGGTATGTATTACAAGTGCGCTGTGGCGATTCTACTAGTATCTGGTGAGGCCTATGTACCTATGTACGGCTAGGACTTCATTAGCCAACGTATGTGTGACTTTTCATTTCTTTCCTTTTCTGTCAAATTTAACGGCACTCCAACCCCGTAAGGTAAGAATAAAGTTGCCCACCAATCTAATGTAACTGCCTGACCATATAAGTTCAAAAAGAAACGTGAAGCGGGATAAGTATGATCGTAGGCTTACTAGAACCTACGGGGGTTAAGCCCACGGCGACATATAGAACAGCCTAGAATTCCCAGGATTGCCTTGAACCATACAAAGAAACAAGATCTCTACGCTCTACCAGGTAAAATGACGAGTAATAATGCTTCGACTATAATATCTGAAGTTCTAGGTAAATTCTTCGGAAACCTTTGTTTGACTTCGATCCAATATGGTAGTCGGCTCAGGAATGTTCTAACAGATATAATTAAGCATTCGAACCAACACGACTAGATCTTAGAAATGATGTAAGCTCTAATTAAATAAAAGAGTGCCCATCTAGGCATTGACTATAAATACCATGATAACCCGCATGCTAAAAATATATTTACCAACCTATACTTAGAACTAACACAACGTACAAATTATGTCGCCGTGGGACGAGAAGTTAAAACTTCTCGGTAAATACACCCATGTAGTAATACATGTGGATGAGACCCAGGATTGCTCAATAGACATAACTTCGGCTGCGACAAATGCTTCCAACCCTAAGTTTGCGAGGGCGTTAAACCTAAAAGTAGGACCTGCTATTAAAGGGGATGAGCCTAAAGAAAGAACGAAAACCACAAGCATGAAGATAACACTTTCCGTAGACAACGTGTCCACGGATTTACCTGGGGTTTCGGAACAGGGCGAAGTGAGAAATATAGCTACTATGCTTGATGGGCGCGGCATTTGTTTAAATTTTACGACCTCGAGAAGCCCAAAGGTGCTTGAAATACCCCTAACAGAAGTCTCAAAACAACCTGAACCCTTTGCTACTCACGGCTTAACAAAACGGGACTGGGAGGAGTTGGAAGGTGAACAAGCTCTACAAAGATATAAGAACTGAAATGGGCAATTACTTACCAATCTATAGCTTCCCAGGAGCGAGTACCACGGTTTCTCTTTCGATGTTTCGGTCCGAAGTCTGGGGGTGACCCTGATTTGAATACCATAAATGGGATTATCCCACGGGGTTTTCTTGACGGCAGTGAACCAACCGACATGTACATGACTAACCGTCTCGGTGCAATGATCATTAATCACCTAGAAGGATCGATGACCTGGACTAAGTTCAGCTCGTGGGCAAGCTGTATAACCTGCGCCAGTATGTAATCCGTAGAGCGCCCAACGCAGCCCCCTTTATGAACTGTACCTATACGCGATACAAATTCCCTCATTACCTAAACTACCCTTCAACTTTTGCTTCCAGATGCGTCTGTTGCCGTATCATAACATTAGTAAAAGATGTAATATATATTGACATTAGTTACTGCAGTGAAATACGCCTCTGATAGAAGCTATATAGCGATCATCGATAGAGCATTACTAGCTCCACATGTCAAGATCTACCACGTCCCAGATCTATGTAAAGCCGGCCTTTGTGGCGTTGCACGTGCACAGGATTATATAGAAGACCATGACCGCGAATACTTGGCATACGGACCGATCAATGGTCCCGCATTTCACTGTGTAAAATATGAGGACTTCCAGACCGGATACGGGAACCTTTACCACAGCCAGATATACGACGAACACCCGAGTAGAACAGTCGCCAAAGCAAGACAATTAGCCGAACTTTTTCGCCCTCCCCATGATGAACGACCTGATACTGGAGGCAGCCCTGCGGGCTGCACAATATGCCCGAGTTTACATAATTGCGCATGTGCCAGATACTGCCCATTGAGTTACTTTCCTATTTGGGCCATGGAAAAAATTCGACACAATAACCCCTCGTAAACTCGGGCATAATCATAGCGCTCACAGTAATCTTCTCGTGCTTGCAATTTGACGGTGTTATGGATAAGCGGCCAAATATACTGAAGAAGGAGGAGCTGCTTAATACCCTCGTCTTATATCTTCGCCGCGAACTTGAGAGTATCAATTTGCCACCTGTTGGTAATAATAAGCTCGCCCTCATCAACCCCAATATGTATGTAGGGCCCCACCGGCATCTACAGCAAACAGTCCATTCATGGAGATGCATCGAAGAAAAAGTCAGGTCAGGTGAGATGTTTCCCTACCTGGGTAGATAGGTACTCGGTAGGAGGTAGCTATGCGCCAAGAGGGCGGGTTTGGATAACACCTCTACCATGGCTTACAAGTTTCGTAGAAGAATTAACATAATGGGGACATAATTATTAGCTTAATTCGATGCATAAGTTCTGGAATCTAGGAGGTGACAATGAATAGAATAAATGAACTCCTAGAGCATGGTAGTCTGTTTTCCTTGCTTAAAATATCCCCTAATCTTCACATAGTTTTTAACGATAGTAGAATATGATCGACTCTGTAAGATTGTACAATAAAATTTGGTAGATAATTAAAAGAACAAGAAATCTTCTATAAACATCGCTAACATCGTACATAGAGGCAGTTAACCTTTAAGGATTGATAAGGCCTTCTCCAGGTCTTGCTTCAAATCCACATCCCAGATCCAACTCATGCGCGACTTGAAGTTTCTTTCAATGGCCTCAAGATCGTCACCTTCGAGTTCGAACTCGTATAGCATGCCTGCCTCTCTACTGGTTTTTACCAACTTGAGGGTTCTCGGCCGCCTTACCTCATCGTATGCTTGGAATGCCTTGTTAAGATCCTGGGTGCTCTTTGCTGCTCCTATGAGACGGCTTAGGATATAGCAGTCTTCAATGCACATACCGGCACCTGCGCCCTGGTGAGGCGTGGTACCGTGCGCAGCATCGCCGAGGAGACATATTCGAGGGCTTAACCCGTAGTAAGTCTCTGCAGGTGGATCATTAAAGAGAGCCCAGACGTCTCTTTTCTGCATAGAGTTGATGATGGAATGCACAGCAGGGTCCCATGTACTATAATCGTCCAGCATTTTCTCCTTTGATGCTTTAACCACCCACTGTGGATCGGTCCATGTGTCGCAAGAGCTGAAGGCCACGACTATGATACGATAATTAGCTTAAAGTAGGGGAGGGATTTTCTTAGAATACCAACCATTCATAGTCTTACCCTTCTCAATTGGAAAGGTAAGCAGATGACGATGATATCCCATCCATAACTGGGGGTTTTCGGCTATTTCGGCGCCTAGTAACTCTACGGCTCGTTCCATCGGTATCAACCCCCTATATGCGTATTTTCCAGAGAACACGGCTTTCGACTGTTCGCCCAGCAGTATCTCCCTAGTCTTGGATTTTATTCCATCACAACCTATCACAGCACTATGCTGCGCCGTAGTCCCGTCCGCGAAGTGCAAAACAGCATCCTGTGACCCGTCTGTAGCGTTGCTGATGTTAACTAGCCTCTTACCGAACTTCGACACTGAGTCTGGTATCAGCGTGAGAAGGTCATCTAGGAAATGTGCTCGATGCACACCACCGGCAAGTCTATCGTCGGTGTACTGAACGTCAAAAATTGGGTCTCCGACTCTCAACCCCTCCTTTTCCTTCTGCTTCAGCACTCCATCTGGGCCTGCCTTTCTCTGATCGCCAACCCTGATCGTGAACCAGTTCTTTCGCTTGCTCTCCCAACCAAGAGTAACACGTCGCTCAAGCCCTTCAAACAGCTTGGGGGAGATAAGTTCAACGGCAGTGACAGCATTTGGCCCGAACCCTAAGCCGGCGCCAATCTCGGTAAATTTCGAGGCAGATTCGTAAACTGTGAAGGGCACATTCTGCTGAAGGAGGGCAACTGCGAGTGTAAGTCCGCTTATACCGCCCCCGACTATAGCAATATCAAATGGCTTTGCGGTAGTCATGGTGTAATTAGAATCGACGGTTAGAGTCTAGAGATATTGGAGTGTGTAGTTGTGTGGGGCTTCAATACATAAAAGTGACGACACTCCGAGTAGCAGCTAGGGTTCTTATAGCACAACGAAACAGTAGTATTGGGGAAATATTAATACGATGTCGTTAATATGCCTCCATCCACTACCGGTGACGAATGCACAAGGAGCGTGAATTCGGTGCATCGGAGACGCGATAGGGGTATGATGATGTCTTTAGGTGAGCTTACCGTAGACCTGTAGGCTGTGGATGTGCGGCCGATTAATCCCGTGTTGGTTGCAACCCTGGTTATCATATCATTATCGCCTAATCACCAACGAGAAGTTGTCTCTTCTCCGAATTCTGTCGGGATTCGGGTTACCCGGCCTAAACCCATCTTCCGTGTTGCCATGTCTGTCTCGGCCTCGGCAAAGGATCGCGGCTCCGATGACTATAAACTCAGCATTATGTTAAGATTATGTTAAGATTATGTCAAGGTATAAGTAATGCATCTAGTGGCCATTTTGAGGGACGATTACTGAGCGCAAAAGTATCAAACAGTTATTTCCGGTTGTCGGCGAAGTTAAGGAGGCGTCACTCGTGATCCCTTAGACGCGATAAGCAGCCATTTCACTACTAGGAAATATGTAACTGGTCTTGCGCTTATTAAGGTAACGGGGATAAGTTTATAGATATTATACTACCTTCTCTAGTCTATTCCTTAATGCAGCATTCTCAATGCTCATCACATTTCCGGCGGCGTTGATGTTAAAGATAAACTGGTCCAACGGTTTGGAGCCGTACATGATCCCTGCGACGCTGACCCAAGTCGAGCAGTCCGTCGTAAAAGGTTCCGAGGCGTCAGGCAAGCTTAGGTCCTCAAATACTGCCTTGAACGCAACTCTTTTCCCTCCGTCAGACGTCGCGTCCCACAACCCAGATGGATAAAGTCGAACGCTTGGCTGAATTTTGTCCCAATAATCTTTGGTCACGTTTCGGCTCATGGCTACAGAATACCATAGCAAGTTCGTTCCATTGCTAATCCACGAACTTAGACTCAGGCCAGGGGTTTTACTGTCAACCACGATGCTTAAAGATGAATTCACCGCAGAATTAGAGTTCTTATATGTTCCATCATAGAGCGCATCTGCCTGGATGCGTGCCGTGTTCACCATGGTTGGGAGGTAAGTATTCGACAACGTGTCTGCTATATCCATAGGTAAACTAGGGGGAACATCACCAGCAGCCAAGATGGAGAATCCGATATTAAAGTCTGGGATGATAGCCAGCAAGGTACTATACATCCCTAGACTTCCGGCTTTGTTAAAGGTGGTTGCGAATTGGTAAGGCGAATCTGTGATCATAATATCAATATATCAGCGAGTTATTCAGGGTTGATTTGCGTACCTTCAGAAAATTGAAGCTGACGTACACCCCACGGTGCACCTACGCTAGATCTTGGATCTGAGCTGAAGCTCATGGGCTTGAGCCATCTTCTCGTCGTAGATGGTGGTAGAAGAGTAGATCTTAATATGGCTCTGCCGACTCGGGATAAATCCGAGGAGGATGCATACATATTGCCGGTACTTCCCATTGGTGAGTTACTTAAGAACTCGTGACAAGTAGGTACTTCAGGATCGTACTTACGGCAACTCATTTTCCATGTTAAAAGCCCAATTCGTTTCATAGCGACCACCTGGTATAATCCCGAGGGAATCCGCGGGAGTTATGTAGAAAGTACGATTCAAACCAAGGGGCTTGATAACCCTGTCTTGTACTATCTTGCCGAACCATTTCCCCGTCATCTGTTCCAAGGCGTATCTGTCAGAAAGAACCCTTGATGTATGTCATACATAGAGTAAATATTAGAAGTAATAGCAAAACTGCTATATAATAACCGTATAATAATAAAAATTTATTAACGCTTAACCTTTTATCTTTTTACAAAAACGCAAAACGCCTTTTTATATATTTATTTTATATAGATTTATATTTAATTTATATTAACTTTATTTATATTTTAACAAAATTACCTTTTTTTATAATACTTTTATTTTTAAAAGTAATAATTGGTTAAAAAGTTATTACAATATATATACGTTTTTATAATATTTTTTAATATTATTTTTTACAATTTTTATAAATTTTTTGTAAATTTTATCGTTATTATATAATTTCCTTATTTTATATATAAATAATAAAAGTAATAATAATATATATAAACGTTATTATCTTTTTTTTTTATTTTTTTTATTTTTTTTACCTTTTTATTTTCTTTTTAATCCTTTATTTTATCCTAATATATTAACATCTTTAATTATATTTAATTTATTTTTTACCAAAATTTATTATATAATATATTAATAATATTATTATATTTTTATATAATAACGTTTTAAATTTAGTTAATCTTTTACCGTTTTATATATTAAAATTAATAATAAATTATTTTTTTTATAATTATTAAAATTTTTTTAATCGTATTAACTTATAATATAAATATATTTTAAAAATATTAACGTTATTTTAACATATATAAAAATTATTAACTAATTTATAACAACATTTATATTATTAAACATTTATATTATATTTTTAAACAATACCTTAATTTTTATTTTATATATTATCTTTTATTTTTTATAATTTTTTATTAACTTTTTTTATTAAAACAAAATTATTATTGCGCAAAAAAAAATAATAAAATTCTTTTAATAAATTAAAAATTACCAAAATATAAATAAAAAGCATATTATAAAATATTGGTATAAAAAAGTCGAAAATTATAAAAACCGGTTATTAATTATTTATAAAAGTTTTTATTAATAAATTATTAATATAACTATTATTTTCCAAAAAATTCGTAATAATATAATACATTATATATAATTTTAATATATTATAAATTCCGCTTTTTTTTTACCTTTAAAATTTTTATTAACTTTATTTTTTAAAGTTTTAACTTTAATACTAAAAAACTTAAATTTAAATTTAACGTTAAAAGTTTTTTTTAAATATTTATTATAATAAAAATTTTAAAAGCTTTTTTTATTATTTTAATTATTTTTTTACGTTATTATATCCAATTTTAAACTTAAGGTTATTATATTAAAAAACCTATTAAAAATTCTATTTGTCATTTTATAATTTATACCGTAAATCGTTTTTTTAATTAACTTTTTAACTTTTTTATAAATCTTTTTAATAATAATAATATTATTAATATAAATATTTTAACTATTATTATTTTTATTAAAAATATTATAAATAATATTATCTTTAATAAAAATATATTGGTAATAAATTAATTATATTATTATAAAATTATTACTACATATTTATTATATAATTTTTATTTATAATTAACTTTTAATTTCTTTAAAATATTATATATTTTTTCTTATAAATTATTATTATTAATATATTTTTTCTAATAAATTAAATATTATTTATTTTTATTATTTTTTTTATACTTTAATATTATTTTAATTATAAATCTATTATTATTAATAAATATTACCTATTATTCCGTAAATTTCTTACCAAATCTTTTGTTATATAATTTTAAATTATTAACATTAAATATATTATATATTTTATAATGCGGTAATAATTTTAATTTATATATTATTTTGTAATACTTAATAATTTTTTTAATTTTAAAAAGTTTTAAATATTTATTTATAAATTTTTTATTAAATTATTTTTGGTTTATATTTTTTATAAAAATTAATATTAATTATTTTTTTATAAATATATATTTTTTTTTATTTTTATTATACCATTTTGCGTAAATTTTATTAAAAGTTCGAAATAAAATTATAATTATTTTTTTAATTTATTAAATTTTATTTATTACTTTTATTCTTTTAATTACGTTATATTTAAAATATAATATTATAAAATTTATAAAACTTTAAAAATTATATTTATTATATAAATAAACTAATATTTATTTATAAGTTAAATAAATTAATATATTATATATTTATTTTATTAAAATCAATTTTTTTACTTAATTATTTTATTTAAAATTATAAAAAATTTATAAATAATATTTTAAATTTTAGTTTTAACATTTTATTTATTTATTTATTTATAAATAAAATATTATATTTAACCGGTATTTTATTATAAAGTAGTGGTATAAAATCGACTAAAATTTATTTGTAAATAAAAACCTTTTATTTAATATAATGTTTTTAAATAAATTTATTTATAAAAATATATATTTAAAAAATACGTTAATTAATTTAAACGCTATAAACTTTTTTATTATTAAAATATATAAAATATATTTCGAAAATTTATTTATTATAATTAAAATATTATTATAATTTTTATTATTACATATTAATAAAATTGGTAACCCGATAATAAAATCTAATAATATTTTTTTATTTGGTCCGTCCGGCACCGGAAAAAATCTTAACTTTCCGTAAAATAAATATTTTTTTACTTTTATTTTTTAATAAATTACATATATATTAATATAATATTTAATATCTTTTTATAAACTATTTTAATAATAATATTTTAATAATTATTAAATTATTTTTACTACCTTTTAATATTTTAATATTAAAATATTATAATAATTTTGAAATATTTTATTATATAATATTAAAAATATATAAATTTTATTTTTAAATTTAAATAAATTATTTTTTAAAAACTATATTAACGTTAATAAATTCTAATTATTTTATTAATTTTTTTATTCGCTTAAAATTACAAAATTATTATTTTTTTATTTTTTACAAATTTTATTTAATAAAAACATATTTAAATTTTTATTACTTCTTAAAATTATTAATATAAAACCATATTTAAACATTTCTTTTACAATTATAATTTTAAAATTATTATTATTATAAAAATTTAAAACGTTTTAATTATTTTCAAACTTCGTTAAAAACCTTAATAACGCTTTTTGCTTTATTCTATATATACTTAATAATAAAATATATATTTTTATAATTACTTTTTACTCGATTACTATAAAATTATTTACTACTATATTAAATATTTCTTAACTATTTTTAAACTTTATTTAAAACTTTAACAATATACCTTTTTTAATTTTAATTTTTTTTATAATATTTACATAATTAAGTTTTTACAATATTTTATTTATTAAATTAAAAATATTTAATTTATAAATAATTTTAAAATTAAAATTAATTAATTTTTTTATTTATTATATTTATTTATTATTTAATTTTAATTTTTTTATAATATATTAAAGATTTAAATAATCCATAATAACTTTTATTATCTTTGGTAAATAAATTAAATAATATTATTATTTTTTAAAAATATTTATTATTATTAACATCTTTATATCCAAAATTATATAATATATTTTAATATTTTATAATTTTTTTGATAAAAACGCTATTAAATACCATATATTTCCGTATAATTATAAAAAAACTACGCCAATGGCTTATTATAAAGCATTAATCTTTAACTAAATCTATAATTTTATATTAAAATAAACTAAAATAAAGGCTTTTACAAATATTAACTTTAATTTTATAAAAACCTTTAACGCCTTGCCTTTTAAATTAAAATAAAATAGCGTTTTTTTTTTTAAAATATTTATTAATAAAATTATTATCTTTAAATAACTATAAATAAATCGTTTATAAAATTTTATAAAACCTAAAAATATTTATATATTATAAATATTATAAAATATTAACTATTTTAAGATTATTAAAACCTTATCTTTATTTATTTTTACTTTATTTATAATTATTATAAAATTTAAAAATATCATTTTATTAATATAAAATTTATATTTTTTTGGATTTATATAAAACTTTTATTCGTGTAACTTTTTAAAAACGTTATAAATATTTTAAATATATTATTTTTTATTTTTTAAATAAATTAAAATATTATTTAAATATATAATATATAATATATTAATTAAATTTATAAAAACTTTATTAATATAATTTTAAAATAAAATTAAAACGTTTAATAGTTTAAATAATATTATTAAATATTTAAAATATTTATATTTAATATAAAATATTATTTTCCATTCGTTTTTTACCTTAATATATAACTGGTAATACGCGTTTTTTAAATTTAATTTTATAAAATATTTTATTTTTAAAAGCCTATTTAAAATCTTATTAATTAAAAAAAAAACGATATAATCCTTTTTTATAATTTTATTTAAACTATAATAATTAACGCATAATTATAACTTTTTTCTTAGTTTCGAAACAAATAATACCGGGGCTTTTGCTAGGTTTTTAAAAAATTAAATCTATTTTTTTTACAAAACGCTATTAATATATTCCTTAAAAATTCTTAATTTTGTTTTTGTTAAAAAATAAATTAAATTAAATAAAAACTTTTTATTTTTTTCAAAATTAATAAAATGGTTTTAATCTTAATATTTTAAAAAAATAAATACTTTTTATATATTAAAAACATTTGTAAATTTTTTATATTTTTTAAAAATAAAGAATATTATTATTTTACTAAATATTTTTTGTAAATTAAAATATTATAAAATTATAATATTATTATTACTTTTTATTACCGTTATTATAAACATTATTATTTTTTTTATTTTTTATATAATTTTATATATTTCTTTTTTTTTTTATATTAAACTTATATTTTTAAATTTAATAAAATAATATTATATTCTATTAAATCTTTTTAAAATAACGCCAATTTTTATAATCTATAATATTTTTAATATAATTTTATAGTTAAAATCTTATTTTATTATATTAATAAAATTAATAACCTTTTATATAATTTCTTAATTATTTTTAACCTTTATAATAATATAAAATTACGTTAATATCTTTTTTTTTTCGAAAAATTTTTTTATTTTTTTTTTTAAAATAAAATCTTTTTATATTTTTAATAAAACGCAATTAACCTTAACTAAATTATAATTAAATTTTATATTTATAAAGATTTTAAAAAAGATTTATTTATTTTTTATTTATAACTTTACTGCTATTTTAAAATAAATTTAAAAAAGGGTTAAACCTTATTAAAAATTTTAAACATTTTTTATTTATATTAAAATATTATTCGAATTAATTATTAATATATTATTACTTAATTATAAATATTTATAAACAAAATATTTATATTTTTAACATTTATAATAAATAATTTTTAAATAATAAAATTTAATATAATTTTTTTTTTTATAATTAAAATAACCTATTAAATATCTTAAACCTTTAACGTTTAAAATAAAAATAAAAATAGATTTTTTACTTTAATTAATAATGTTTTATTTATTTTTAATAATATTATAATTATTACTTTTTTATTATATTATTTTAATACTAAATTTTTTAACTTTTTTTTTAATATTTTTTTATATTTTTTTACTAATTTTTATAAATAAGTTTAAATAATTTTATTTTATTTTTTAATTTATTATATATTACCGATATAAATTTTTTAATATACTTAACCTTTAATTTAAAAATTAATTTAATTAATAAGTTAAAAATTTTCGTTTTTTTTAAATATTATTCCAGATTTTTTATTTTAATCGTTTTATATTTTTTTAAAAAAGTTGAAAATAATTTATTAAATCTTTAATATAATTTTTATATTGTTATAAAAAAATTAAATATCTTTAAATCTTTATTTTTAATTATATTATGTAATTATTTTTTTATTTCTAGTTATAAAATCTTTTTAAAATCTTTATTATTATTAATAATATATTAAAATTATTATTTAATTACTTTACTTTTTAAATAAAATGTTGCGTATAAAGTTTTATTTTTATTTATGTGGTAATATTATAAAAAAAACTTAATTTTAAAGCTTTTTAAAAAAGTTACCAGTTTTATACCGTTATTATTTTTATTTTTTTTGTAAATAATATTAAATAATAATAATTTATTAAAAGTTAAGTTTTTATTACGACTATTTTTTTGTTATTTTTTTTTATAATAAAAATTTTCTGCGGTATAAAAAATAAATTGTTTTTTTTTTAAAGTTACGAGGTGTTTAATTTGACGTTTTTTTTAATTTTATCTTTTTAATTATTCGATATATTTATTTAGTTTTTTTTTTATTATAATTTTTAAATTGATAATATTTAACGATATTATTACGTTAATTATTATTAAAATGAAATTTGTATTTTTTGTGGGTACGTTACTATTATTTTTCAATTGATTTTATAGCGTATAATCTAAATTATTATTAATTATTTTTTGTTTAAAAAGTGTGGCATTTTATTTTTTAATAAAAACTATTGTAATAATTTAACGGTAATTTTATTTTTAATAAACGGTTTATATTAATAAATAAAAATGTTAAATTATTAAAAAAAATTTTTAATATATATTATATATAAAATAAATATTAAAAGTAATAGCAAAATTGTTATATAATAATTGTGTAATAATAAAAATTTATTAACGTTTAACTTTTTATCCTTTTATAAAAATGTAAAGCGCTTTTTTATATATTTATCTTATGTAAATCTATATTTAATTTATATTAGCTTCACTTATATCCTAACAGTATCCGAGGAGTATATAACCGATATCCGAGTATGCTGGCGTAACGAATGGCGAAAATGACGGGGGAAGTTTACTAAGACCTTCGAAGAATTCTAACAAAATAGTTAGTTCCAGATAAACCGGTATTGGTCATATGTAAGCTGTTAGGAGTAAACATACGTGTTCTATTGCATACTGGCCTGTTGCCGCAAGGAGGTATTTCTGCATTTTCTAAGACGGGGAATCCAATTGAAACTGCCTGCGCGATGCTTGACCCTTGTGTGAGTTCGCCTAATAAAGCGTCTAAAAATACCAGCTGTATAAGACCGTTTTAATCAACTTTGCGAGAACGGGTAATAGCTTACAGTCTCTAACGAGGCCTGACATTTGACTAGCCAACGACCCAATCGTGATAGAGTCCCAGTCTGGCTTTGAAATTGAATGAGAAGTGTCGGCGTCAGTGACCATCGCCTTTATTTCCGGAATATATTTAGTGATAGGCTCATTCCACATAGTGTCGCCTACTTCGGCGAGGAACGTTAAGATGGTGAATATCTTTGTAACACTTCCAAGTCTGTACACGGTATTACCATCTACCTTTTTGACTCCTGCTGAATTGAGGGTTTTTAAGTTAGTCGCAGTCCAGTGATGCGACCATAACGGTTCATCGTCATCGGCGGAAAACACTTCAACTGAATAGGAGAATTGATCTGAGTTAGTGTTGCTAGAATTGTCGATGTACTGTGCAAAAACCGAGTCGAGAGACCTTGCGGCCATCTGGATCCCCGGTTGGGCGAGAAGGTCGGTAGGTTTCGGATATCCTAAGCCATATAGAGGGCAATTCTCTTTGGCATAGACGCTGAGTATAGCAAATAATGCTATGACTCCAAGTGATCGCATTTCAAATACGTCTGCGCTAAGTAGAGGTTGGTGAAGATAGGAGTCAGTATATCAGTAGCGCGTCAATAATTCGCTAGACCAAATAATAGAAAAATAGGAGGATTAATCTTGAATCATAATTATATTAGATTCGAATAGTAGAAGGATTATCGTCCCTTTTACGCACACGGGAGCCGCAAGCAATCGCTTCACAGTACCCCCGCGTTGAATAGTGCTATCAGATGCAAACTGCGAACCGGGTAATTAACCGCCAAGCGAATGGTAGGGTCTTGCTGGTGTCTCATTGCGTATAGAATCTGACATTGATAGGAACTTGATCACATCCCCCCCGTGGTGCTAATAGGGGTAGTCAAGTTTTATTCATATATCTAAGGTACGAATTGGAGTCTTGTCCAATTAGAGACGCCTTTAGAAGAGCATCAGAAATGGGTTTAGGGTCGATGGAAGGATCTAGATCCATAGATCTCTATATTCTGAAGTTCTCAGGTATCCCGGTATTGTGGTACCTAATATATCTGTTGATGGTATGGTAGACATCTGGGCCGTGTATCCATATAAGGAACTCGAGAAGCGAGCCAGGATGTATATTAAAGGTCTAGATTCATTAACATAAACCCTTGTCGTGGAACATGGGTTGAGGTACGGAGGTGTAAAGGGAACACATTAAAAAAACCTAAAATTTGTTGATACACTTACCCTTATCTGATTTTTATTGTTGTATATGCAATTATAAAATATAATAATATTAAACAAAGTTAAATAAGCAGTAAAAGGAAGTTAAGTAAACAGTATATAAAGCTATTATATACTTTTAAATATTTAACCTTTTATATAAATTTATTAATATATATTTATATTTTATAATAAGTTTTAACCATTTATATTATTTTAAAATACGCGTTTTTTTATTGCTTAAATGTTATACCGCCCGTTTAATAATATTTTTATTTTTATTTTTAAATTACATTTTTAATATAACTTTATATTACACTAATTAAATTTAATCAATTTAACAATAATATAAAACTTATATATTTTTATTAAATGTAAAATTTAATTGTTTTTATTTAATTACATTTAATCATTTTAAAGCAAAAAAGTTAAAAACAAAGTTTTTTTAAATAATCTTTAATACATAAAATATATATATATAAAGCTAACTGGTTAACCAATTAAAAAGCTATATTATATAAATATAATACTTTATTCAATATTACTTAGCCATAACTTTACGAATTATACCCTTAAGAGTTTACGTATAAATTTTAGCATTTTTTTAATGTGTTCCCTTTACACCTCCGTATTAAGGGCTTATCTGAGCTGTCTGATTAACTTGGGATTACGTGATAAATGGGGACGGACCGGGATCCCCATGACGTATTATTCCAATAATTTGGGGTTTGGAGGAGATGCTGATTAATTGTAAAGAGTAAATTGTAACTAACGAAACTCATGGACGACGACGACGATAATAGTAGGAATACGGCGTCTGAAGGTCGCAAGCGCCCACGATCACGAAACGACGATGCGCCCTCCTCAGCTTGTGATCAATGTCGATATCGTAAGATCAAGTGCGATAGGCTTCAACCAGAGTGTTCTAGTTGTCGTAAAACCGGCATCGCTTGTACCTCATCCGGCACCGTTAAGCGTGTAAATCAAACCAAGCAGCTGCAAGTCTTCTCGCCCCAAGCTTTACTATTATTTATCACAAATTAACAGAGAATATTCTTCTTGTAGCCGAGATGATTTCACTACCGTTCTAGAGCGTCTCGACGGAGTCGATCAGACTTTAAGCGCCCTCACTAAAATCACCGAACAACTTGCCGCTCGAACATTCACATCCAACTCGAACCCCTCTCCTCCTACTTCATCTTTACCTCAACCAACACAGACCTCGGATAACGATGAAGGTAGTGCCATTTTACCAAGCGCCCAGAGGGATCGACCTGGACGGGTGGATGGATGTCGGCATGAAACCATAAGGTTAGGTCAAGGGGGCGAACGGATTTATAGCTATCCTGCGGCTATTCCTCTACTTGTATCGTTATCGAAGCAGCTAGCCCAAGTTCTCGCCGAGCGCGGGGGTCAGCAAGACGGCGGTGTAGACGCGATTGTCAAGGACCCAGCGTTGCGAATTGCTCTTCGACGACAACTCCAAAACTTTCCCCTCCCCCAGTGTCAGCAACCCGTCGTGGCGAGCGACCACAAGCCTATCACGACTCCACCGCGATTTTTAGTTGACTTGTTTGTTAATAACTTCTTGCGCAATATCAACATCCGCTTTCCAATATTCGAAGAGACACTACTCTATCGTGCTATCGATACGTATTATTCGGGCGAGTCGTCAGGCGATAGTAGCGCTTGGACATCCATATTCAACAATATCGTTTTAATTGGTTTGGGCTTCGAGGTGCAGGTAGCGGAAGCTACCCAGTCTAATATAAGGAATATGAACAATGATCTACTTCCTTCTTTCTTACAGAACTGCGACCGTGCTCTAGCTGATCTCGACTCTTTCACTTGTCCCTCTATAATTAATGTTCAAGCGCTCATAATGTTGGTATGTTACAACAACTCTCCCGTATTTCTCTATTCGTACTTGAAGACGGACTTCTAACGTATTGCCTCGGCGTATCCTGTTAGGCCCTCACATCTAAGCAGTTCTATGGTAATATAATGTTTGAACGTATATGCCAGACGGCCTGCCAGGTCGGCCTTACTCTCGGTCTCCACCGATCCAGAACCAGTGAAGACGACGCCAGCCACAGACAAACAGAGTGGGAACGACTATTCAGAGTTCTCTATGCTCTAGACAAACTGCGTGCTTTCATGTCTGGTCAGACCTGCGATATTCATCTATTCGATTCGGACTTAACTTTGAGTTCCATCAACGACAATGAGCTACCAAGTCGGCGACTCAACAACGCTTTCGACTACATGATGGAAATCTGGGAAGAAGTATACCTCTCCCTTTATTCCTCGAGAGCGAATACCGCCGGAGAGGCATATCGTGTTCGACAGGCGCGTCGCATGACTCAGCTTGTAGATGAATGGAACCAGCAAAACCACGAATTAATAACGGCCATATTCCCGGAAAATACAGCAGAACTAGCTAACATACAACTTGAACTGAAGTATTGTTATCATGTAACTCAGGTCCTTTGCCTTCGCCATGATCGCCAGGATGAGCTTGCTCAGCATCAAATGCGCGATCATGCTCGCATTTGTCTTAGACTTGTTTCCGAGGTTGGTTCCCCGTCACTCACTACGACAAGCTTAGCTCTACTAGACCGAATGCTCGGCAACTATCCCGTAGTAGCATTCATAGAGCTAGTCGCATTTTACTTCAACACCTTGGCCAAAGGTGAAGCCCCGGAACCAGAACTCGAGGCTGATTTAGAAATCTTATGGGCTGTTTGTCGGTATCTCCAGGCTTTGCACAATCCCAGCTTTCAGGCGACATATTACCCTCGTCTACGAGATGGCTTGGCATGGGCTCTAGAAAATATCGAAATTATGAAAACCAAGCCAGGAGGTCAATCACAGGGACCTCTAGACTATATCGATATTAGTCCCCTCGATCTACGCTGCCCACATTCCTTTTTTATACCAGACACTACCTCAAGTCCGGTAGGAGATCCAATTTCAACCAGTTCCCCAGCCAATAGAACAGGAGAGAACCTAAATACACCCTTAATACAACATCCCGAAGATGGTGGAATGGATCTGGGGGAGTCTGCAATAGATCTCACAAGCTTCGACTTTTGTACAACTGCACCTCCGTCAATCTCTTTAGATGGATCCGGCTTACAATCTTATTCCGCACCCACTCACTCGGACTATAACCTAACATCAGATCTATTTCAGTTATTTACGACAGAAAAATAAGTTGGGAGTGGTTCATTTAAGTACTCCTTTGCTACACCAATGTTGCTTATGCATTTCGACTAGTTTACCCGGCTCGACTGTACGTATAACGCCCATCGAATCACATGCTTGGCTAATTATTTTTTAAATCTACATTGGCAAATACTAAGAGAGCTGGAAAGTCAGTTGTGGACTATGACTGAATTCATCATCCGGCGCAAAATTACGGGCTTAAAACTGATATAGATATAATAGTACATTTGGCATCCTCTTTTGGTCCGCTTGACATGGTAATCGACAACTCCGAGTCATATATATGGTCTTAAATAACATGTGTCGAATTATATACATGAGATACTCGTTTTATTTTCGCGCCATTTGGATTGTCTTATGCGAATAGCCAATATCCTTATTATACGTCAATCCGAAAGAGGCAAAGGTTTATTTTACTCACAATAATACTCAGTCACAAGTTAGCCCATAGGCAAGTAGTTTATTAACATTAGAGAACTTACGGATGGAACCGTGTGTACCGGGTCTCTTGATTTCAGTTATAGAAAAGGGGAGAAAAGCGAAATCACATTGATAACAACTAAGGCTATTTTCACGATGGAAGTAAATCTTGGCATTTTCCCCTTTTGTTTTGGATTAAACTATCAACTGATAATACTCGATGCAATCTAAAATGCTGACGATGAAGATACGAATTCCAACATATACCTACCTCCCCGTTAAAGTTCTATAAATACACCAAAATTCGGGTTAACAATAGCATCGACGTTTGGCCCGTACGGTGTTCGACCAGATGGTAACATGCTTGGCGTCCACCCTTTTTCAAGATATCCAGCCCCAAATAAAAACGGGCTGAGGCAACGCAACGTGCTGAACCAGGGTACAATCTCATACCCCTTGTCAGTACGTATGCCGGCATATCCGAACCTCGCGTTGCATAGCGAGGTCGCAGTAGAGTAAATTACAAGACCAAACCGTCGTGAGAAGATGAGGTGCCCTTGGTATCACATAATACGAATTACCGGCCAATTGCTTGGCCTTTTAATCTCTATAACCTCCGTAATCCACAAATCGACGCTCTCTCTTGCGTGAGCATTATCTACCTTGGTACGTATCCAATTGGTCAGAGACTCGAGCTCCCGGTGTCCACAATGGGCTATCCTGAAGCCAACACCAATCCAGGGGCCGACATCTCTGCTCCCGTCATCCCAAGAGAACCGGACTTAGAACGAAACTTAGAAAAGGTCGAGGACGTAGAAATAGTGACGGAGATTGGGGAGCAAAATGGAGTGGAAAATACTGAACCAACACCGAAAAAGTCGCTTTCCTTTAAACTAGCCTTCGTAGGGCTTGCGGCAATCCTTTTTGTCTTTCAGCTGGATGCGACTTGTCTAGGCATTGCCCTTCCGGTGAGCCATGACACCATTATTCCTGACATGTATGCCGCTTGGGTTGAATACCTACATATTAATACCCATCGTTAGACCGTAGCTGGTGAGTTAAAGGGTTCGAGTTTGCAATCATTCTGGGCGAACCTGGCCTACACCCTATGTGGTCTGGTCATGCAACCAGTCTGGGCCGGTATTTCAGACGCGTTCGGTCGAAAGCCGCCTCTCTACGTGTGCATGGTATTATTCCTTATCGGTTCCATCATTTTCGCCCTTGCGCAAAATATGAACACCGTCGTTGCCGCACGGGTCCTCCAGGGCTTCGGCGGCGGGGGAATTGACGTTCTGACCCAGGTGATTCTCGCTGATATGACGAAGCTGGAGGAACGCTCGAAATATCTCGGCTTGATGGCTGTTCCTTCGGCCGTTGGCAATATCATGGGACCTAGCGTTGGTGGCCTTTTTACTACGTATGCTACGTGGAGGTGGATTGGATGGATCAACCTGCCGTTCCTAGGAATAGGGACGCCTTTGCTGTTCTTGTTCCTTAAACTTCGGCCCGTCCCGCTCGATGCAACGCTTGCCAAGAACTTGAGGCGCATTGACTGGATCGGTATGGCTCTAGTCATTATCGGAATCACGATTTTCGTTATACCAGTCAGTTGGGCGGGCTCCTTATTTCCATGGGCTTCCTGGCAGACTCTCCTTCCAATGCTCTTGGGGGCTGCGGTGCTCGTCGTCTTTGCCTTCTACGAGGCGACGCCTGCGGCACCCATTGTTCCTCATCGACTCTTCCACTCAAAGACCGGAAATATGGCGCTGCTAGGGGGCTTCATCCATGGAATGGTTCTAGTCTCTTTATTACAGTACTTGCCCTTGCTCTACCAATCCGTAGAGCTTGAAACCGCAATCTCAGCGGCAGTCTCGCTGTTGCCTACATCTATCATCAGCGTGGTGTTCGCAGCCGTCGCAATGATGATGGTCCCGTTATTCGGAGGATATGCATGGCTTCTACGACTTTCATGGGTCATTCTTACGCTAGGAACTGGCTTGCTAGCCCTCTTCGATATTGGAACCTCATCATCCATGCGTTACGGGCTTCCTATTCTTTGGGGGCAAGGTGTTGCGTTACTACGTCTCAATATTCTTCCTATGCAAGCGAGCGTGAAGAAGATTGACGACACAGGCGTAGCTATTGGGTCATTTCTCTCTATTCGCATGTTTGGAGGTCTTATTGGTCTCACCATCTCCTCGACAATATTCAGCAATGTTTTCTCAACGTCCATCTCTACCAGCGCAGTCCAGTTAACGGGAGCTTTAGCGCCTTTGAAAGACGCCTCAAATGCGGTAAACTTGATTGAAAACTTGAGATCACTAGATGTTTCCCTTACAACGCTAAATCAGGTCTTGGGAGTCTATCTGAACTGCTTTCAGACGATATTTTATACGATGACCGGCCTGAGTGCATTGGGCTTGATAACTTCGATGTTCCTAGATGAGATTGATCTGAAGGGACGGGATCTTGGGAATCAGCGTTTTGAGGAATAGGAATAGACAAAGACGGGGAAAGGGACTCACTCCCCTCGTATCAATAATATTTAATCCTAATACAATAATAGATATATCTCAACAACGTGTAACTTTATTCATATTGTGCTAAAGATGAGGCTAATTGTACCGCATTAGGTATCGCACATCGTATCATCGATCCTATCATCTTCGTAGGTATCCTCACCGTCAAAATTGACAATGTTAATTCATTCTTGGATGTTCCTAATTCTTATCATTCATGGGTTATCACAGTGATAGATCATAGAGTAGCTTACAGGCTGCAGGAACCATCACATATTCATGGATCTCAGCCGCCACGAAGGATGATCTACTTCTCACAGAGATTCGTGCCGAGGATAAAAGTGGGCTTGCATCGTACGACACGGTTCATATAGTGAGCCCAGCATATGTATTTATTGAAATTTGAGGCTTCACGTCAACTTCGTAACCAGAGTGCATGAACCCAAACTCTACAACAGACGGGGTTTGAATCTGACGGTCCGGGAGACAAGATCCATGCATGCCGCGCCAAGTTCCAAGAGTCAAGAAGCACTGATTACCTGTAGGTACCTATTCCTATTCCTATTCCTATTCCTATCCCTATCCCTATCCGTAACGATGTTGCTGCCCGAGGTATTCCATCATAAATCCCGTGTACCTAAAATACCTAATTAAGGTAATAAAAATACTCCATACGCCATGTACTTGAACGCTATGCTATTCCAAACTCATCCTCTAAACTTTCAGCATTATATATGCATACCTAGGTAGTATATACTTCCTAATCCAAAGTTGTTTGGTGACTTGTATTACCCCCTGCTACTTAGGTGACGATTTTGCTGTGCCAGATGATGTCGGAGATGTCGATTGAGGCTTCTGGCAGTAGACCGTCATCCTACTACTCGTTAATAACTGTTCACATCATCATTATAACTCAACTTACAGAGTAGAAAACGAGTGAATACGCGTGTTATCAATGTCCTTCCGCGCTTCAGCTAATAGCTTGTCTACCGCGTGGTTAGACCACCCCAACCCTTGCGTAAACACACCGCGGGAGTAGATGTCGATGACCTCCAGCGTATTAATCCTCTGCCGTGCGCCGATCCTTTGATACTGCCTCCCGGGAGCCCAAGTATTAGTAGGCACGGCGTATTTCAGTTCGACGATATTTTCAAACCCCGCTTCTTTCAGCAGGGCTTTGTACTCGAGGATGTAGAATAATGACCTTCCTAGCTTTTCGAGACCTATTATAGGAGTTAGTCCTATTACCAATAAGGAAATGATTCTGGGACGACCTTCCTTCAGTCAAAAACACGTTCCACTTTTGGAAAGCTGTGCCTTCAACAGATTTGTCCGAGGACTGAACATGGAGAAGCCACTCTTGAAACTCGACCCAGCCACCGGGTGCGAGATTGTCGTAGATGGATTTAAACAGCCGGCGTTTATTAGCGGGCTCACCCAGGCTTCGCACGTGAATGAGATCAAACGGGCTGCCAAATTTCCATTCCTCATCAGCGTCTGCTATGAGGAAATGACAGTTATGTGGAATAAAGGGCGGATCTGGCACGGGATTCAGGTCTGTTCCAAGTACGTAACAGTCAGGATTCCTCTTTGCTACACTTATATTAGCATTTGTGTAGATGTAGAACGGGAAGTAGAACATGCCGAACTCGACTGCCCATATTCCTGTCCCGGTACCGACATCAAGCACTCTCCTGGGATTCGTCACCGGGCAGATATGCAAGGCCCCATCATGTACGTCAACGCTGATTTCATGTTGAAGGTCTGTCATTTTGGGTCACCAGTTAGTTTCATGTCAATTCAGCGGTATCATAGAATCTTACTATTCCTCTCTTGCTCTTGCTAAACATTTGTCCATTTTTAGCACAAGATCACTGTTCAAGACGGCATCTACTTAGTCGTGCATACCTTATCATGGGGCAAGAAGTAATCTTTACATTGGATATTAGCACTAGAGCTCACTTGAACATAGAGAATCACGGTGGAGACGTACTCCTGTTAAATGTGCGGCCAAATTTATAGACTATTGATCGGAAGAGCCTCGAAGAACTTGAACCGGTTGCTGCCTTGGCGAAACTTCTGGAAGAGCAAGTAATTCTACTGTTAGTTTCATGGGCACCTAAGGTTACGAGGATATACAAAGTGAATATGATCGGATTGCCTACTTCTTAGTAGTCTGGCGGTAGTCATAGTTCTCGACGGGGTCATCTCCCCCGTCACCGCCGACGCTAGGACCAGCTCCGAAGTCGAAGTTAGATGGTACATATTGGAAAGGATCGGCAGTTTCGATTGGAAGTGAGGACGACGACGACGATGAGCCATTCGTTGTCGCCGTTGACTTTAACGTCGAGGTTGAAGCCTTCGTTGATGGGCTAGTAGGAGGGTAGATAGGAGGGAGATCCCAAGCAAGAGTATTAGTGTAGTCTCGAGGACGAGGATCATGTGGGACGGGGGCGGTGGATGGGGGAGTTGGGGGTCTCCTAGTCAATAACCCATTTCGTCCACGGCCTTTTGGCGAATCTGTAAGATCAGTAGTTTCCATTTGAACGGTTCACGTTTTCGTTTTCGGGTCCGTGATGTATTTGTTAGTGAGTTGGGGGCCAAAGCACAAATGTTCGGCTTCGGGCCGCTCCCGTATTTATCAACACAAAACTCAGCGCAAGTTTTATTGGGGCTGAGAATAGCTCATGACAATTCAAATGAGGATAGACGATGGCCTACATTGACCTTATTAGTACTCACAGCGAATACTGGGCTTCATTCGTAAGGAGGGAAAAGGAGACGTGATGAGAAACTTGGAATTTCATAATCATGTTTAGTTATTTTTTATTACTGGTGTGAGTTATTCTATTTTGTTTTGTTTTTCTTTCTTTCTTTTCGTCCTTCCTTTTTTTTTTTTTCTCTCTCTCTCATTCGACTGGTGTAAATTTTCCTACAGGTCAGTCCTACTTGTTGTATTCTTTACGTAGTGGGTTCAAGTGATATTTGAATGTCCCTGGTACGTGGAGTGTCGGTCGGTCGGATCAACTTGGCGACACGAACTAGTTATCCCTCGCAGCCCTCATTTATAAAATTTCAATACTCCTTACTGCTTACCAACTAACGTGCAGATCTGGTAGGATTTGACCTAGCAATGTTGTACTAAACCCAAGTACCGACAAACTGGGGAAAGGCACTTTATTATTGCTCCACCCGCTGTCATGAGAATGGTTACGTGGGGGTAAGGTAGCATTATTGGCCAACAAGAAAGCCAGTGTCACAGCACAACGTCACTCTGTTGTTTTATTTTGTCTTGGGTTGTTGTTGCGTAGGTACGGATTAGTGCTTGCTAGGTAAATTCTAACGATGAAGCTATTCCGTAAATAATCAAGCAAAGCATAAGACATTTCCCAAACGGGCCTTACGTCTGAGCTGTCAGAGAAGAAGAAGAAAAGGACAATCTGGATTACTGGCCAACTTGCGTTCAGCTCCGCAAACTCCGTAACTCTTGACAAACCCTCCGGGACAAGGGTCCACACCTATCACATCGGAAGCTGACGAATCACTTTCAATGGTCTGTGTTGCCGTCTCCTTACTTTGAGACTACCTATTTGAACTGATATGTAGTCTGAACTCACGATAAAGATTGGCAAGATGACTTGCGGTGAATAATATCTTGTGACCATGGCCTGAGGTAGTATTATAGGTGCTACGCTATCGAACGAGGTGCGACTGAAGCATTAATTTCACTCGGGAACCTTCTGCTGCGAGTCTATGATATAATGCAATATAGAACAGGTGTATACTCTATAAAGATAGATCTTCTTTTATTTAATCCAATAAGACTTGCTGCAACTTTCGTAGTCTATTCTGTGCCTCCCTCTTACTTCATCTGGTCAGATAATAATAATAAAACCTACCGAGATGTAATCCGCCGAGGATATTCTCACTCAGCAAGCTCGGCCTTTCGAGGGTATACATACTATATCAGTCGTAAGATCTTCATCCAATGCTAACAGTTCTATAGAAGTATCGAAGGAGCATGCGTGTCATTACGCACGCACGGATACCAAGAAAGAAACTTAGCCAAACAAGGCGATACTATGTTAATAGTAGCCTATCAAGAAGTAGTCAGGAACGAAACCATTTATACATATCGACAGCAGTGCCTTAGAGGCTCCGCATGTTTGCATTGATCCTCTGGGGAAACCGGAGACGAGATGCTCTAGACTAAACTAAGGTCCCAGCAGACCGGTACATGCGCCTTCAACTTGCGCCATGCCGTTGTTTACCTAGATATTGCACCAACCGCCCTTGCAGCCTAACAGGATAGTGTTACCCACCGAGATAATAAACCAAATTCGTACAAAAGCAACACATCGCGAAACAATACAGCTGTGGAGTGTACTGTGGTTCTTTCTAGCCATTCCGCTACAAAACGATTATAGCACGCAACGGTATAGGCTGAGATGTTAGCGTCTTGATTTGCATTAGCATCAGGACAACACAGCATGAACGAGGGATGGCTTCGGGATGTAACCTAGTCTAGTCTGCGTAGAGACAGAAAAGAATAGCGGTTTACCAGCTCGGCGGATGGCCCGAGAGACAGTTCGCCCCAGCGGTATGACCAATTTCGGTGTCTTGTACAGGCTGATAGGTATAGTGTTGGCTCACCATCACCGAGCCATGCTTTATCCAGACTGCAGTAAGAAATATCGACCGAATTACCGCTTATTCACTGGTAGTGTAGACTGTAATAAGAACGTCCAAGTCGCCTGTGAATTTGGTCAAGTTAGTATTGCACATTAACCACGTTGTGTCTCGTTATAATTCTCCTAGTTTACTAATAGCTTTCTTATCGCCATGAATCAAACTAACGGCTTCTCTAAGTCATGCTCCTCCACCACTACCTCCAACTTTACAGAGGTCAAGGACATAGCAACTCCAGCACCAGTTCCGATTGCCATCTGTGGGCTTGGCTTGAGGCTTTCTGGCGGCATTCGAAACGCCGATGACTTCTGGGATCTCCTTGTTAACGGTCGTGACGCGCGGACACCCGTCCCAAGAAGCCGGTACAATGCTCGGGCGTTTGACGGCTCTCTAGGTGGCAAAGAGCGTATTGAGACCAAGTTCGGGTACTACCTAGAGGATGACTTGTCTCAGTTCGACCCTTCGCTTTTCTCCATGACCCAATTGGAGTTGGAGAGATGTGATCCTCAGCAGAGATTGCTGTTGCAGGTTGCTCGTGAGTGTCTCGAAGATGCAGGTGAAGTTAATTACCGTGGCAAGCCAATTGGTTGCTACGTAGGCACATTCGGCGACGAATGGCTACACAAACAGAGCAAAGATAGCCAGCAGATTGGTAGCCATATTGTTACTGGAGCTGGAGATTGGATGCTTGCTAATCGGATATCTTATGAGTATAACCTTTGCGGCCCGAGGTGAGCCATCTACATCATCAACACCTAACAACCCCCGAAAATCAGCTGACAGTACAAATTTGTACGACCGTAGCATGGTGATTAGGACAGCTTGTTCGGCATCTCTGATAGCTTTGAACGAGGCTTGCAGGGCGGTCCAATTTGGTGATGCTTCTGCTGCAATAGTTGCGGGATCGAATCTGATTCTCGGGCCCTCCCTCAGTGTTCTTATGACCTCAGAAGGCGTCCTGTCTCCAGATGGATCATGCAAAAGCTTTGATGCTGCCGCAAACGGCTACGCCCGAGCCGAAGGAATTACTGCCATCTACGTCAAGCGCCTTACGGATGCTATCCGCGACGGAAACCCTATCAGAGCAGTCATTCGAGGTACTGGAGCTAATAGCGACGGTAAAAGCCAAGGGATGCTTGTCCCGCGTAGAGAGGCCCTCGAATTACTTATGAGGAAAGTTTATGCCGATTCGGGGTTAAATCCAGCCGAAACAGCCTTCGTCGAGGTACGTACGCCGTATTTTCCATTCCTTTCCTAGTCGTTATCAACTTACTAGTAAGTTGAAGCTAAAGTATACAATTTATTTAGTGTCATGGTACTGGAACCTCAGTCGGCGATCCAAGTATGTAACACCAAGAATTCATCCCCCCTTTTTGGCTTGCCTTGGGGGTTGGTATTTTATATCGAGCTTAATAGGGAGCTATTGCTCCCGAGACATACATAACCCTTCCAAGTTCCTTAATAAAATAGGCGTTTGCTGACTATCGTGGCTCTAGTCGAAACTTCTGCTGTTGGCGAGATTTTTGGTGACAGCGGAGTATACATCGGCTCCGTGAAGCCCAATATAGGCCATTGCGAGGGGTCCGCCGGCCTCGCAAGTTTAATCAAAGCGGTATTAGCTTTACAGCATAAAACAATACCTCCCAATATCAAATTCAACACCCCCAATGCTAAGAGTAAGCCCTTATTAGTACCGAACTGAGAATTATATAAGCTGATCATTTAACTTGTAGTCCCATTCACAGAAAAAAGGCTCCAGGTGCCGACGACACCGACACCTTTCCCAGCTAATAAAGCTGAGAGGATCAGCGTGAATTCGTTTGGAATTGGCGGTTCAAACGCACATGTGAATAACCCCCTCACCTTACCCCTATTTATTACCTAGTCCTACTAGCTGACAGTATCGAAGATCATCGTTGACTCGTTCCCTAATTCGGAAGAAACAAGTCCTATAGAGAGGGCGAAGCGACCCGAGCTTCTTATCATCTCAGCTAACACCCAAAACTCACTGAAACAACAAGTAGAACAATACGAAAAGTATGTTTCTCTACGTACCTCTAATGTATACAATATAGCATATACGTTAGCCCTCCGTCGAGAACGGTTACCGCACAGGGCTTTTATGATCAAATCCGATGAGCAGATTGTAGATATCTCCGGATTAGCGAGGATACCAGGGAAGTCATCCCGCCGCAAAGTCACAATGATTTTCACCGGCCAAGGTAGTCAATGGGCCGAGATGGGAAAGGGGTTATTCTTGACCAATCGAGAATTTCGCGAGGACATTAATCTCATGGACGATATCTTGAGACGTGCCGTTCAGCCTCCGAATTGGACAATCGAATGTGAGTCTAATCATCGATATTCAAGAACTGTTTCAGCATGGGCGCTGATATGTACTCCTTTTCTTGCGCCGCAGCCGAGATGCTCAAGCCTGGCGAAAGCAGCCAGATCAACAAAGCTGAACTGTCACAGCCTCTGTGTACAGCACTGCAGATTGCGATCTATCGCCAATTCGAACGCTTCGGTGTTGTACCTTCGGCAGTCGTAGGACATTCCAGCGGCGAGATTGCTGCGGCATACGTTGCCAGATACATATCGCTCGAGTTCGCCATCAAAGCGGCATATTACCGCGGCCTCGTCTCCTCTACGAGCACGTCTAAGAATGGTTCAATGGCCGCCATCGGACTCGGGGCTAGGGAGCTAGCACCTTTCTTGCCGGAGGGCGTCGTGATTGCGTGCGAGAACAGTCCTAAGAGCTCGACCATATCGGGAGATCGCGAGTTACTGGAACGAGCTGTGTCCAACATAAAAGAAGCCAAGCCCGATACTTTCGCACGCCTGTTAAAAGTTGATATGGCGTATCATTCGCGTGAGTACTAATTAATCCTCCCTGTACTTGTATATCCTGGCTGATGGCGAGTCTCGCATAGATCACATGGATCCATTGGCAAAGCAGTATCTCCAGCTGTTACAGCAGGAAAAGCCTCTAGTCGATGGCAACCAAGCGCCTCTATCCAAAATCGCATTCATGTCGAGCGTCACCACCAAGGTAATAGACAAAGCGGCTGAATTAGGTCCGCGGTACTGGGTTGCAAACCTCGTCTCGCCTGTGCGTTTCAGTACAGCGGTGAAGAACCTCTTACAACTACGAGGTGACTCCGATATTCTATTAGAGATTGGCCCTCACGGGGCATTGGCTGGCCCCCTACGTCAAATCTGCACCGAAGGTTCGTGGCAGTGTAATTACGTTGCCTCCCAAAAGCGTGGTAGCGATAGCGCAGTATCTTTGCTTTCCGCTTTGGGTAGGCTCTTCCAGGAGAACGTTAGTATCGACTTCAGCGCCCTTTTCCCGGGTGGCCGGGTCGTTCCGGGGTTGCCTTCCTACGCATGGGACCACAGCGGCCAGACATTCTGGAATGAGAGCCGGTTGGCCACTGCTTGGCGGCAGAGGAAGTATCCTCATCACTGTATTCTTGGTGTT